TTTTTTGGAAACCAGCAAAAAAAAACGACGCGAGCACGTCTGGCACGGCCGGGCCAGGCTCTGCCACGCCCTGTCCGCGGACGGAGGCCGCGCCGCGGGCGCCGCGGCGGGCGCCGGCGCCGCGGCGGCGGCGCGGGGCCTGCGCGGGGCCGCCCGCAGCGGCGCGGTCGGCTCGGCCGCAGCTCCTCGGGGCTGGGCGGTGGCTCGGGGGCTCGGAGGCCCCCGAGGCCTCGGAGGAAGCTGGTGGGCTTGTTTTCCACCACCACCACCATACTGTAAGTAGGAGGGGGAGGGGGTCTTCCTCGTCCTCCTATCCTCTTTTTCTTTTTGCTCCTCCTCATCCTCCACCTCCTTCCCCCCTCCAACTTATGGTGGTGGTGGTGGTGGTGGAAAACAGGGCCATCAGAAGCAGCGCCAGATGTCGAGCAGTGGCGAAGCGTCCCGACGGGGACTGTAGGCCAACCAAATAATGTTATAAGAATCGGGCTCGAGGTCCCCAAGGTCTCGGAGGAAGCAGCGCCAGGAGAGCCTCTGGTGGTCTGCACGAAGCGTTCTTGGGACACTTCTGGCTGTGATTGTTCGATGTTATACATTCCCTACCTAGGCTGTGCCTAGAGGGTTCTTACTCTCTTTCTTAAAGGGGCCGGGCAGTGCACACCGCCCCGGGCGGTTCCCCCAGTATCCGCCCGCGGTTCCCCCAGTTACGTCCCCTTAGCTTAGCGTTGCTTACCTCATCTTAGCTGAGCTTAGTTCATCTTAGCTTAACTTAGCTTCATCTTAGCTCAGGTTTGTATTAGCTTAGCTTACCTTCATCTTAGCTTCGCTGAGCTTTAGCATAGCAGAGCACATCATAGCATAACATAGCGTAGCATATCATAGCTCAGCACAGCATATCATAGCATAGCCCAGCATAGCATAGCATAGAGCAGCATAGCATAGCATAGCATAGCATGCCATAGCATATCGCAGCACATCACAGCACATCATAGCACAGTGCAGCATAGCATATCATAGCATAGCAGAGCAGAGCATAGCATAGCATAGCGCAGCTTAGCATAGCATAGCATATGATACCTTAGCATAGCACAGCGCAGCATGACATAGCACAGCGCAGCATAGCTTAGCATAGCATAGCATAGCATAGCATAACGCAGCGCAGCATAGCATAGCCTAGCATATCATAGCATAGCGCAGCATAGCATGGCATAGCATCGCATAGCATAACATAGCATAGCATAGCAACTAATGCTGCTTTCCTAGGGGCTCCAACTTCTAGGTAGGGTCGCACTCGGGCAATCGGCTTTTTATGTTCTGAGAACTTGCTTGATCTTGGAACGTTCCTTCGTTCTGAGAGCATGTTGTGGTAGGCCCATCGGAAGGCCGGGACGGTCGACCCCTGCTCGAATATGGCATCCTGGCGTGGACGGCGGGGAGAAAGGGAGGACGAACCAGACACGCACGCACACACGCACACACATGTCCACACGATCTTAAACACACACACGCACACACACACACACGCGCGCGCAGACACACAAACACACATGTACACGAACACACACACATACGCGCACACACGCACAGGCATACTCACGCACTCACATACACATGCGCGCGCACACGCGCGCGCACACGCGCACACCCACACGCACACACGCACGCACGCACGCACACACGCACGCACGCAAACGCACACGCACACGCATACGCACACGCGCATGCGCACGCACACGCACACGCACACGCACACACATATTCACGCGCGCACGAACGCAAACGCAAGCACACACACACACACACACACACACACACGCACGCACGCACGCACGCACGCACGCACGCACGCACACACGTGTACGCGCACACGCGCACACGCGCACACACACACACACACACACACACACACACACACGCACGCACACGCACACACGCACACGCGCACATGCGCACACGCGCTCACGCGCTCGCGCACGCGCCGCTCCTCATGGCTCAGGGCTCGAGGTGCCCATACTGCCATCGTTCCCTCGTTTTCGCCTTTTTCGGCCACTTGGGCGGCCCTCGTCGCCACGGAGAAGTCCAAGTGCGATGCGATAGCAGCAGCTTGTGTGCTTGGGTTTCCCCCCCCCACCCCACCCCACCGCGACCCCCGGAAACCGCGCACCAAAAGTCACGCTTGCCTGTCGGTCGGGGTTTATTGGAAGGGGCACGCGAGTGGACACAAGACCCGAGGGCCACATTGCCATAGGAATGCAGACGGCACGGGTCGCGAAACACATGGCATCAGGGTACCCTGGATTTGCCAGGGCCGACCTACTAGTCAACCTCGACTGTAGGGCAATTCCTGTCTGTAGCCGGCCCTCCGAGGTGCCAAGGGGCCGACATGCCGCATGTCCGCACAAGGCATCTGTATACCATCACCGCGATTGGCCAGGGCCATCTTGGGCCCCACGGAGGTGCGCAGACGCTCCTGGACTCGGCCAGGAGGCAGGGGGCGCGTACACCATCCCACGGCCCAGGATGACCCTGGCCAGGCACGGTAGTGGTGTATGGATGCCTTCATCGTGGTACAGACAAGGCACATCTTCGGGGAGGGGTGATCGAGCTTCGAGGGTCGAATTTATTTTGTAAGTGTTTCGCTGTTCTGGGCCTCTGGGAACGTTCTCGCCGGCACGGCTGGGTTCTCTATTCGACAGCCTGGCCCAAAGGCACTCCGGGATGCGTTCGGGGGGGGATTCTTTATTTCTGGACCTACGTAGTTCGTCATGACTTCGACGTGTTGGTTGGGGCCTCTTCGTTGTCTACGCGGTCAGGTTGTGCTGTCAGTTCGCCTTTGTTTTTGTTGGTCCGTAGGCTTGTGGGGGTTTGCATGCGGCTGCTGGAGACCTCCGTTCGGCCAGCTCCCAGGGGCCCTGGGGACCGACATTGCACATTGCATGCCAGTGGGGAGGTCTGTGGGCGGTGTTCCTCAATGAGCATTTGTCGCTGAGGTGTCTTCCGAGATATTGTAAGGATGTGGCCAGAGTGTGGTTTCGGCGTGCGGCCGCATTCCCGGGTTCCAGAGCTCGGTTTCCCATCATCGTAATAATTCTATTGCCGCCGACGGAACCCCGGGTGGCCAGTTGTGGGTTTATTTGGGTTGAACATCCTTGTCGGTCACACTTGGCGACCCGCTTCATGATCCGTTAGAACCGAGAGCACGGAGAGCACAGAGAGTGGACAGAGTGGAGATGTTATGCGTATCGCTCATGGTGAAGCGAGCAAAAAAAAAGGAACGGGTAGCGAGAGAGCGAGAAAACAGAGTAGAGCGGGTACATAACCTAAACAACACAGTAAACAGGACATGGCAGAGTGCCGAGCTTAGAGAGCAGAGGACAACGTGCAGATGTAGGAGAGTAGAAGCGAGGGTAGAGAGCAGAGGGTAGAGAGGGGAGAGCAGAAGGTGGAGGCTAGAAACCACATGTAGACGTGATTGGCGCAGAGTAGAGAGTAGAAGCACGTAGCGAGTATAAGGTCGAAGAAGTACAGAGAGAAAACATGTAGAGAACGCAGAGGATCACATTTGTCATCCTTTGCTCTCGCCCCCACCAGCGCGGTGTCTTTCGCTGTCAGCACGAAAGGTGGATTGGACTTTTCGTTTTGGAAGAGTCTCCGTCGCAGGCCGCCTGTGTCTTCATGGGGCCAGGCTTCCAGATACCTCCAGGGACGTTCTTCGGCAAGAAGCTAATGGTGCCAGCGCGGGCTCCAAACAGCGACGCAGTGCAACCCATCTGTTGCAATCTACGGGGTGTCATCTAGTTGGTGCGACCCACGCGGTGCACTCTGTGTTGGGCCATCTGTGAACGCATAGAATGCCATTTGCGCGGTGGTATTTCTGGAGTTGGCCTCAACGGTGTGCCACTCGAGTTGGACCCTTTACCTTGTGGCCGAGAATTGATGGTATCTTTCAAGCATATTCGCCCTCACTGCCAGTGGGTGAATCGGATCCGCTACAAGCAAGCACAGCTTTGGAAGAACAGCCAAACAGACCGTCGAAACGCCAGAAGACGGCCGGAGCCAGGCAGTCTTGGCCTATTCCAAGACCTCTGACAGTTTTTGTTCCCAGTACACTTCATTACATGCGATGTTGTTCCCAATTCGTTTTGTGCTTCCAATGCTTTTCCCACAACTTTCATTTTCCGACCAGGGAGTATTTTACCGATGGCCCTGCGGCTTGGAAACGGCCCCAGGAGGCCGAAACTGAGCGAACCAAGCCTGCGCATCAGCGCTTCTTTTGCACAAAAGACGCCAGAACCTTTTGCGGTATACGGTCAGGCGTGCTTAGCGTGTCGCGCCGCCAGTACTGGCCTCGGCGCGATACGCTATCTACGTCCCCGTCCCCAGGCGTCAGCGCCCCAAGCATTTCCTAACCTCCCCCCCGCGTAGCGGAGTAACACGCTATCCGCTTGCAGGGCATAGCATAGCGTATCGCCATGGCTGCGGCCGCGACACGCTAAACAACATCTTCTGACCGTGCATTCTGGCTCTTTGAAGCGCCTGCCTTGTTGATTCCTCGGGCCCCTGGCCCCGTGAGCCGAAGAAAAGAAACTGCAAACGCATAAACTTTCGGAGGTGCGAGCGGATTTCTGGGATCGGCGCTGGAACCCCTTCGCTGCGGCGGCGCTTCGCACCTCTACTTCACACGGAAGAAGGGGGGGCTGCGTCATCGAATGTGAGCAGGAGGCTCCACCAGTTCCATATGCAACGCCGTCACAACGCCCTCACCGTAGAATGCGGCTGGAATTTCAGAATCTCGAGGACTGTGTAGAAGTTCGAAAAGAATCCCGAGGGGATCCTCTAGGAGTCCCGAGGAAATCCTCGGAATCCTGCGGAATCCCACGAATCCCGAGGCTTCCGTTTGCAATGCCCTCGCCGCAGAGTGTGACCAGCCGACCGCGCCCCAGCACCGAGCCACCGCCTGCCCCCGCCCCGCCGGGCGGCGCCGCGGCCGCCGCCGCCGCCGCGCCAGCGCGGGCGGAGGCCCTGGCGCACGACGGCGCGCCCGGCGCCCCCCCGCGAGGCGCGGCGCCGGGCGACCGCAAGGAGACCACTTTTGCCATCCGCTGGCGATGCCCAGACGTCCGACGCTACCATTTGCTCAGCCCGGGAGAATTTCCTCGACTTCGGCTTCCAGGGCCCGTGTTTGGGCCCCAGGACCATCAAAAACGGATCCGGGGCGCAAAACTACCCCCAGGGAAGGGGTCGCAGACAGCTCTTGCACCCCCTGGCGAGAATCGCCAGGGGGGAAGCGGGCCCTGAGGGAAAGTGGGCCCCGAGGGGCTTTCGCCGTTTTCGGGCTTATGGGCCTTCCACGTGCCCCGGGGCTATCAGAAAGCGATTCAGGAGGAAGGGCCGGCCCGGAGGGGAGGCCCCAGGCTCCAGGACCCGATTTCCCCAGGACCCGTGTCCTCCTCCCCCCCCTCCTCCTTCCCCTCCTCCTCCCCCTCCTAAGCGAAGGGGGAGGTCAAGTTTGACAACGTTGAGGTGGCCAGCGTTCTGGTCACGGAGGAGGATGCCCCGACGGAGCTGCGCTGGAACAGTCCGATGGTGGCAAAATTGGGCATCGACAAGAGCAAAGTGCAGGAGGTGTTCAATCGCATGGTCGGCGGTGGGTCCAGAGAAGTACAGTGGTGTCCCTAACACTTGCTCGGCGCGTTGGCGCCCGTGGCAGTACCAATATGATGAAGTGTTCAACAGTCCATTGAAGGTCATCTCGTGGAATGCACGCGGTCTGCTTCTACGGGATCCTCTGCGTAGACGACGCAAGTTAGCAATCTTGCGGTCATACATGGCGAAGAAGTATGTGATTTTGGTGCAGGAGACGCACGGTGCGGCGGTCATATTGGAGGCGTTTGTGCGCTCGCAGCCCTTCTCCTACAAGACCCACTTCTCTGCTCTCCGCGATGGGCGTGGTGGCGGCGTGGCCACGTTGATCCCATCTTCAGAGCTGCATGAATGGGAGGGGGTGCATCCATCGTGGCACCCAGTCTCGACGACTACGGAGCTGGTCCCTGGACGAGTGCTTATGGTGAAGGTCAGTGTGGTGGTGCGGAAGCCCGACTCGGTGACGCACCTGCCTGCAGAGGCTGACGAGTGCCGCGTCGGGGTCACCCTCATCAACGTGCACAACCACGACCTCAGCGCTGAGGACAAATCGAGAGTGGCGACAGCATGGCGGAGGGCGATGAGGGAGGCGCGCAGGTCCCCGATGCAGGAGCTCTGTGTTGCTGGCGGCGACTTCAATCTACCAGTGGGTGATCGGCGCTACTACCGCATGCCGACGCCGACGGCGATGAGGTCCCCCGCGCGTGACCACCAGGCCAGATCCTTCTGGCGTGACCTCTTCGACGAGTGCGTGGAGATCAACGGCAAGGACGCCACGCACTATGACAGGCACTCGGACTCCGCCTCCACGCTGGACCGCTTCTTCACCAGCCTGCCGAGGGACGCGTATCCCTGCCTCCGTGCTACCCGCACGGTCGACGCGGACCCTGCGACGCTGTCGCTGCGCAGGTTGAGTGATCACGGGGTTGTGGGGCTCGTACTGGGTCTCCGCAAGGAAAGGCCGATGGCGGAGAGGAGGATCCCCGCCTTCGTTTTCAAGTCGCAACAGTATCCAAAGTATTTCAAGGATCTGCACGCTGCCGAACAGGACTTGCTTCGCAGTCGGGGAACTGATGGAGACGTTCATGAGGAGTGGGCTGCTGCCAAGCGGGCCATGGTCTCGGCGGCGAAGGCCACGGGGAACCACATGATTGCGCTCGCCGACCTGCAGAACGTTTCGCAGGGCGCGGAGCTCAACGCCCTGGTGGTGCGCTCGGCGGCCAGGACGGTCTGGACGAACGACGGCACCACGGCGCGCTTGCTGATCCAGTCCTCCCCTCTGGCTCGGAGGCACCTGCGCATCCAAGATGGCAAGGTGCTGGCGAACGACGCCCTGGTTTTCGGGGAAGTCGTGCGTGCCACCACGGAGCGCATGCTGGATGAGCGGCGTCAGGACGCTGCGAGACGTGCCCGCCGCGCCTTTGCGACGGCGCAGGCTCAGGTGGGTGAGTACTGGAAGCGGAAGCAGGGGAGTATAGTGAAGAAGGCCCAGCTGTGGCTCCGCAAGCTGCCCGTTTGGCAGCTAAGCGGCGTCAAGGTGTGTGCGACGGAAGAGCTCCCTGCTCCGCCTGTGTCGGGGAGCGTCTCCGAGCGGTCTTCTGATGTCACGGTGAAGAACGCCGACGCTATGCTGGCCGCGGTGCGCGAGTACTGGGGCCCCATCTTCAGGAAGAAAGATATCGACGAGGAGGCGGCGAGGGAGCACATCGAGCGTTGGTTCGCGCCCGCTAGTGCACGCGAGGACTTTGCCTTCAGCGAGGAGGATCTACTGCGAGCAGCTCAGCGTGGACGTGACGTAGCCCCTGGACCTGACAGGCTGCCCTACGTCGCCTGGGCGCGGTCGCCTGCAGCGGTGGCCTGGCTGTACCGGCTTTGCCAGGAGGCGCTTGCGGGGCTGGGCTTCCCCGACGACTTCAACCGCGGGCTGCTGGTCCTGATCCCGAAGAGTGGGGAGGCGTTCAGCGCGTCGGAGGTGGTGCGTCGGCCTGGTGCGCTAAGGCCGCTCATGCTGCTCAACACGGACAGGAAGATGATCGCGACCGTGGTCAACCATGAACTAGCTGGAGTGGCGAGGAAGGAGGCATCGGCGGTCCAGCATGGGTTCGTCCGTGGCAGGACGTTCATTCCGAACATCATCAAGCTGGACCTGATGGCGCGCACATTCAGTGCGCTCGGTGAGACGAAGGGAGGGCACCCCGCGCTGATCACGCTCGACGTGAAGGCGGCGTTCCCCAGCGTCAGCCGTCTCTGGATGGCGCTGGTCCTGGACAAGTGCGGCCTCTGCGATTCCGTGAGGACCCTGATCGGCGCCATGTACGACAAACAGATGGCATGGCTGCGGGTAGGCGAGGACTTGCTGGAGGCCTTCGCTGTCACGGCAGGTGTGGCGCAAGGCTGTCCGATGTCGGGCTCGCTTTGGGCGTTGCTCTTCTCGCCCTTCCTAGAGCACATGGCCTCCGTCCTGGACATGCCGTGGCGGCGGGAGCCCTGGAAGCCAGAGCTGCCCATAGTGCAACGCAAGGGCGACGTGGAGGGCTGCGCGGATGACGTGGGGATGGTGCTCCGCGACCTGGCCCTGCTGCCGCGGATCGGCCCGATCTTCATGGCGATGCAGATGCTGGCGTGCCTGGAGCTCAACCTGTCCAAATGCTTCCTGGTGCCGCTCTGGGCGCCGATTACGGAGGAGATCGTGGTCTACGTGAGGAGCGTGCTCGAGGCGAGCATCGCGGGCTGGTCAGGCTTCTCGGTCGCCTCCATGACGAAGTACTTGGGCTGCTGGCTGGGGCCTGGCGCCGACCTCGCCAGACAGTGGCGCGACCCTGCGGCCAAGTATGCGGCGAGGACGAGGGCGCTGGGCGCCAGTGCCCTCTCCAACGATGCAGTGGTCCAGGCGTACAACGGGCTAGCGATCCCGTGCCTGCTCTACGTCGCCATGCTCTTCCCGATCCCCGACGGGCTCGTGGACAAGGAGCTGGACTTGCTGCGCGTGCTGCTGCACGTGCCGCCGAAGTCGTTCAGGAAGGACTGCCTCCTGGCGCTGGGCTCCTCCCTGGACGTCACGGCGCCGCTCTCCCTCTTTGCCTCGGCGATGGCTGCGAGGATGAGGGCGGCGATCAAGCTGCCGACGGAGTGGCTCGCCCTCAACGAGGGCGTCGAGGACTTCTTCAAAGACGTGCGGGGCGAGGCGTTGTGCAGGCTTGCGGACCTGCCGACTGACCTCTTCACGCCGGTGCGGTGGCAGGACCGCCGTGGGCCTGCGCGTCATCTCAGGGACGCCCTGGGGTGCTGTGCGCCGACCAGCAGACCCAGGAACCGCCGTCGGACGGAGGCCTGCCTGCGCGCCGCGAAGAGGCGCTCGCTGGCAGTGGAGGCTGCGTGGCTGGCGCAGCCCCATCGTGAGAGGAGGAAAAAGCGTTTTTCCTTCCAGTCCACCTACCGCTCCATCCTCTCGTCTCTCCTCTATCTTGATCCCTTTCCTGTCACATTCAGGAAGAGGTTGGCTGCGTGGCAGGTGCGTGCGCCCGCCACCCGTGTGTTGGCGCAGAGATGGGAGGCGCTTAAGAGCGTCCTTCGTAATAAAGGGAGGGGGGTGAGGTGGGCGGTGATCAAAGTAATGTGCGGAGCATGGCCCACAGCGGCCAGAATGCATGTCACGAATGTCCGTTCGGCCCCTTGTAAATTCGGTTGTGAGAATGGATCTGACAATATGTCCCACTATCTGAGGTGTCGGCACCTGTGGTGGGCTGCCTGTTTTCCTCGGGAATTTTGTTCCAACTCTGTATTAATGAAGCTTTGTCTTGGGTCCTCTCGGGACCATGCCTCGACCCCCGATGACTCGCTCGATCGGTCGGTCTTGAGGCTTAGCCTGACGCACCAGTTGCACGCTATCATATCTGCGCATCCTGGTTCTGGGCCACAGCACTTACTTCGTTGCCTTGATATTGCACGTGCACGCACGGGTAGGTAGGCGACTCTTCCTCTGGAGCGACGTTCGCTCCTCCTCCTCCTCCTCCTCCTCCCTCTCCTCTCCCTCCTTTTCCTCGCCCTCCCCCCCCCCCGCCCAGAAGAGATAGTGGCGGAACGGCAGGTCTTGTGGCGCCGAGGTCGTGACGGGGGGGAGGGGGTGCGGGGACCAGCCATACCACGCGATTCGCGCTGCCGACGTGGGAATGCTCATAGGGACGGCTATTTCCCACTCGGCGCCGGCGCGAATCGTGGCGTGACCAGGTGGGGGGGCGAGTGGGGGGCGGGGCCGATCACGGGCGCCATCGCAACTGATAGAACAACGGGCTCAAGGAGTTCGAGGCGGTGCGCGAGGAGCTCACGGTCAGCAGCATCGTCTACAAGCGATCCCCACCCCCACCTGGGCGACCTGGGTCATTCAGGGGCACTGCCAGGGGTTGGCTCAGGGGGCGAGTTTTCCGAACTCGTAGCTTGTGCGTCAGCGTTCGAGGGCCGGGGCGGCGTCCATCCGCTGCGCCAGGCCGAGGGCGTTCCGGAGGTGCCAGAGTCGTCCCGAGCGGCCG